CATTTGGAAGGTGGCACGGTGATAGGGAACAGCCAGCATGGATTTATAAAGAATAAATCATGTCAAACCAATCTGATAGCTTTCTTTGATAGGATAACGAGCCTTGTGGATAAGGGAGAAGTGGTGGATGTGGTATACCTAGACTTTAGTAAGGCGTTTGATACGATCTTGCATGATAGTCTTATCAATAAACTAGGCAAATACAACTTAGATGGGGCTACTATAAGGTGGGTGCATAACTGGCTGGATAACCATGCTCAGAGAGTAGCTATTAATGGTTCACAATCCTGCTGGAAAGGTATAACTAGTGGGGTTCCGCAGGGGTCTGTTCTGGGACCGGCTCTCTTCAATATCTTCATCAACGATTTAGATATTGGTATAGAAAGTACGCTTATTAAGTTTGCAGATGATCCCAGGCTGGGAGGGGTTGTGAGTGCTTTGGAGGATGGGTCAGAATTCAAAATGATCTGGACAAACTGGAGAAATGGGCTGAGGGGAACAGGGTGAAGTTCAATAAGGACACATGCAAAGTGCTCCACTTAGGGAGGAACAATCCGTGTCACACACACGATGGGCAGCGACCGTCTAGGAGGGAGCCCTGCTGAAAGGCGTCCAGGGGTCATAGTGGACCACAAGCTAAATATGAGTCAACAGTGTGACACTGTTGCAAAAAAAGCAAACATGATTCTGGGCTGAGTCAACAGGGCTACGTCTACACTGGCAGGATTTTCCAAAAATGTTTTTAAGGGAAAAGTTTTCCGTTAAAAGCATTTTCGGAAAAGCACATCTTGGTTGGCAGGATGCACTTTCTGCGGAAAAGCGTCCGTGGCCAATCTAGATGCGTTTTTCCGCAAAAACGCCCCGATCGCCATTTTCGCGATGGGGCTTTTTTGCGGACAATACTATGCTGTCTACACTGGCCCTTTTGCGCAAAAGTCTTTCGGAAAAAGACTTTTGACCAAACGGGAGCAGCATAGTATTTCCGGAAAAGCACTGATGATTTTACAGGAGTTTGACAGTGCTTTTCCGGAAATTCAAGTGGCCAGTGTAGACAGCTGGCAAGTTTGTAAACTTGCCGGTCTAGACACAGCCAAAGTGTATCCCTGTTCACACCCCTAGTGGCAAAAAGGGGGCTATAAAGCAGATAGCGGGGGAGGGGAAGGAGGTTGCAGGGCTTCACCAGTTAGCTTTGCTCCCTACAATTAAGATTTAAGTGCCTTCCCAGCTTGCTAGGGTGACAGTGGCCAGCCTCATGTGCCCGCCCTAAAAGCTTCTTACTCTCAGCAGACTGCATCCTTGTGACCCAAGCATCCAGTGTGGCCTGGGATGGTTACTAGTCCTAATATGAGTGCTGCTCACTGCAGTCTTTGTTCAGCTCAGAAGTGCAGCATCACCCACTGGGACCTGTTGTCCTGATGGGTCATACTACAGCTGCATATACTCATCTTGGTATTCTAGACCAGTGTTTCTCAACTTTTTATTTTAACAAAATGCTCCTTTAAAAAAAAAAAAAAAAAAGGTCCTAAATACTCCTTTAAAAAAAAAAAAAAAAGGTACCCCCAGTACTTAGTTTTCAGACACACAGGTTTTTTTTTTCTATCATTGCAACACATTTGTTTAAACAACTTCATCATAGCCAGGTGGGCAATCAAATTTTGGGGTGTAAAAAGTATAAAAATAATAAAGTGCTATAAAACTTAAAACAGAAATTCAGTTTTCTCCAAATTTCAGTTGTGTTGACGTACCCCCTATCACTTCTCTCGAGTACCCCTAAGAGTACTCATACTGCTGGTTGAGAAACACTGTTCTAGATGTTTCAGAGATTAAATGGTCCTCCCTGTCCCCCCCCATTCACTCTTACTTTTCAATTTTAATAACATTCTCTGTTACAGTAATAGTCTTGTATAAACAGATGGCTACAGAACAGTTTCTTTTTCTTTCAGGCACAAAGCCACACAGTGACATTTTGTGCAATGAAAAAATACACATTGTGTCAATTTCAGAACTTAAAGTGTTGCAAGGTATGTTCATAGAGTTAGATCATTTTTAGTTGTTCAGATGTATCAATATTTCACATTCTGTCTGTGCTCTGAAGATATTTACCATTATTGTTCAGTGAAAACCAGTTCTTAAGGTTTAAATTTAACTCCCAGAGTACAGTGAGTATCATTCTTTTAAAGAAGGGTGACAAATTTATACTGTCATAAAGTTATTTTTTAAAATCTGGCTCATAATTAGAATATTAGTTTATCCTATGTGGAAGCTATATACACTTTCATCATGTTGAACAATCTAAGCACTCACCTGAAAACTTAGACAATGCCTTGAAAGCAAATTAACTAAGCAAGTCTTTGAAAATAACAAGTTGATGCTGTTTGTGTGTGTGCTAACATGCACTGTGGATTTTTCTTTTTTCTAAAACAAAGACCATAAAGTAATGTTGGTTTTTAAATTTTCTTCTGTATGTTGACTGTAAATGAATTGCATATTGAGGATGTGCTATGTGAAATTATGACAAAGATTTCTGTCATTTTATAGTTGGTCCTAAGATTTTCCAGTATATTACAAAAGTTATTGCACAGGCAATACAACTGTTCTATACAATGCTGAAGATAGATCGGCCTTCTTATATTCTTCTTCAGGTATATATATATATTTATAGATATATATTTATGTGTGTTATTGTTTCACACTGTAGTACATTTTCATCAAAATACAGTGACTTCATTTTGATAAAACTACTAGTGCAGAATGAATAGTGGAAGTAAATTTATGCAAATATGAAATTTGCAAATATATTAATCAACCTTTGTATTTCACCTTTTTATTAATTTTTGAGCATTCAGACTTCATTGGGACAAACACTAGCAAACTGAATTTAGAGCAGATGTGTGAGTATTTACCAAAAGCAAATTTCAATAGGGTATTTGAGAATGGATTTCAAATTCTAATCTAATGCATATTGCACAAATCATGACGTAAGCAAATGTAGAATTCAAAATGATCTATGTTTAATAATCTAATCAGAACAGAATATCACAATTTGTCTCGTATGAATTACAAATTTTATGTTCCTTTGTAAAAATCACAATTCATACTGTGGTGATTAATACAAATGCTGTGTTTTTCGGTCAAATATTTATTTAAAATTCATTCCCTTTAAATGTTAGAAAAAGGCCTCACTTTCCTGATGTGAATGAATAGTTCTGTTCTAAGTGGAATTAGTGTTGATTGCACATGTCAAATTCAAAGCACGAAGAGGTGAGTCTTTTATCCATAGAACAAATACAACATGAGTGAACAGCAGTATGAACTTCAGTGTGCTGCTTTCCCCCTCCAAAGTGCTTCAAACTTCACTTCAAGGTTCCATCTCTAGGGCTATGTCTAGACTACAAGGTTTTTGTGCAAAAACCTGCAGCGCGTCCACACCTTGAGCATGTTTTTGTGCTAGAAAATCTACAATCAATCGACAGAACAGAGGACTTTTTGCAGTGTAGATATGCCTCCTTCTGTGAGGCATAACTCCTTTCTGCGCTACAGCTCTTGTGCAAAAAGGCATGTGTGGATGCTCTGCAGGGGTTTCTTGTGCAAAAAGAGCCTATCCAAAAAAGCACAGGTGCTCTGATGGCCATTCTGTGAATGGCCATTAGAGCTTTCTTGCGCAAGAATGTCCATGCAGTGTGGATGCTCTCTTGTGCTAAAGCTCATTGCTTTTGCTGTGCGCTTTGAGGTCTGGACACGCTTTTGTGCAAGAACTCTTCCGCAAAAGGCTTCTTTTGCAAAAACCCTGCAGTGTAGGCAAAGCCTAGGAGTGAGAAAATATCTCTGGTTCCATAACAATGAATCTGGATGTGTCTACTGCTATTTAGAGATGGTTGTGGTTGTTGCGATGTGATTTATGACCAATTAGCCACCTCTTTCCCCATACATTACCGAGTAATTTGCTTGATTCCTGACTAGTCATAACTTGGGGACCGTATTTGAACCAATGACCTAGATATTTTGTAAAGCAGTTTCAGTCCATTCCTTTCCTTTTCTGGCAGATGATCTGCAGTTTGTCATTTGGTTATAATTTGTTGTTATTTTTGTTTTATTTATTAAACAGAATCCTCCAGGCCTGCCTAGTATAGCTGTTACCTGGATGGTTTGCCTTGTACGAAGAAGCAAACTGATCATTGATTGGCACAATTATGGTTATACTATAATGAGTCTGATCCATGGAAGAAACCATCCTATAGTACAAATTGCAGAGTGGTTTGTATAGAAATATTTATTTTTCTCTTAAAAATTGTATAGCGTTTACAGCATTCATACAGGTGGAAGGCAGCAGTGACTAGGATACTATTGACTAAGTGCCTCTTTAAAGAGGCACTTTATTTTTAGGCTCCAAATTGACCTATATTGTTTTGGAGGTGTCCTGTAGAATTAAATAGAAAATGCCCTTTCTCTGGGTTATCCTACAAACCTAATAGACAATTCTATCCTTGCTATACCATTCTGTAAGATGGTTCCAGAAAGCTAAAGAAAATATTGTTCTCTTTTAAGTTTGAGAGTAATTCCTGTTCCTGTTATTCTTTTTGTATTCTATAAGATTTTTCACAAGAATGATTATGCCCTTTTGAGGAACATCGTCCAGAAATAGCTAATTATTGTGTGTGTATGCACATACTAATGTTCACATGTGAAGTGTACACATAGAATTGTAAAAAGCCTGATGACTTAGTGCTGGTCTGCATTAGAAAATTAGATTGATTTAACTGTCAGTCTGGGGTGTGAAAAATCCACACGCCTGAGTGATGCAGATAACCCAGATTAGGTGTTGTCACCTCTCTGGTAGATAGATTACCTACACCGATTTAAGAATCCTTTCCATCAGCATAGACAGTGTCTACATTGAAGAGCTACTTCAGTGCACTGCTGTAGCATTTTAAGTGTAGACAGCCTTAACAGTCCTAATTATTTCTGAACTTAAGTGTCATCCATTTTATACTGTTAAGCTGCAACCATGCTTCTGAAATGCATGAGCTGCATATAAATCAAGTCAGTAGTAACCTGGGTCTGAATAGATGGGCTGGAGTCATGATGATAAGATGTACATGGCTGTATCAATTCCTTATGTCCCATATCTCAAATTTGAATATACAGTAAAAGCTGTGTTACCTAGCTCTGTATCAACCGGAAAACTCTATAAACCAGCATTTCTGATCTTCATTGAAAGTTCTAGTCCAGTTAGTGTGGAATTGGCAAGGATCTCTATGTGGCTGCATGTGGCTCCCTCATAGTGGCAACATGTCCCTGCTGCTCCTAGGTGGAGGAATGGCCACAGAGGCTCTGTGCTGCCCCCATCTCACATGCTTGCTCTGCAGCTCCCATTGTTTGAGAACTATGGCCAATGGGAGCTGCAGGGATGGTGCCTATAGGCAGAGACAGAATGCAGAGCTGCCTAGCTACGCCTCTGCCTTGGAGGAGCATGGACATGTCACTGCTTGTGAGGACCTGTATAAGGTGATTCTTGACTGGATCTGGCACCCCCAAACCTCTCCCAGGCCCCAACCCTCTGTCTTGAGTCTGGTCCCATGCTCAAACTCTCCCTGAATCCTGCACCCCTTCTGTCCTCTGAACCCTTAAGTCCCAGCCTGGAGCCCCTTTCTTCACCCCAGAGCCCACACATCTAGCTGCCCACACCTCCCACACCCAACCAGTTGCCCTAGCCTGGATCCCCCTCCTGCATCCTGAACCCCTCATTTCTGGCTCCACTAAAGAACCTGCAGCTCCCTCAACTCAGAGCCAGTACCCACTACCACACTCATCCCCCTGCCTCAGCCCACTCCGAACTATTAGTGAAGCAGAATATTTGACTAACCAGCACCTCCCTCCCCTCCCCCCCCCCTGCTTCTGCATGCTGAATAACAAAGCTTTTGCTATATTCTGCTTTTTGCCTTGCTTTTTATGACTAGATCAGAGGCAGCAGCACAGGGGTGGGGGTGTCAGGCAGGAGGAGGGATCTGGCTTAAAGCTGCAATGGGGAGGGGAGAGGTGGCTGCCCCCCCCAT